GCCTCATGGTTAGTACTCAGTCTATATGTGACTGCATACTGCTAGGATTAGTGGGAGGTGCACTAGCCTCATGGTTAGCACTCAGTCTATATGTGACTGCATACTGCTAAGATTAGTGGGAGGTGCACTAGCCTCATGGTTAGTACTCAGTCTATATGTGACTGCATACTGCTCGGATTAGTGGGAGGTGCACTGGCCTCATGGTTAGTGTTCTCGACTACAGATTGAGTGGTCCAGGTTTGAGTCCTGGCTGAGGACATCGTGTTGTGGTCTTAGGGAAGACACTTTAATTATTACTCTCACAATGCCTCTCTTTACCTGGGTGTTTAAATGCGTTTTGCATGAGTAGATCATGAGAGAGAGGAAATTTTGAGCTTAGGGTTAGTGCCATTTGTCATGAGTGTAAAACACAGTATCAATGCTAAATACTTACTTCTTACTTTGAGGAGAAGATTACTGTGTGACCTTAAGATGTTGACTACCTCTCCATGTGTAGCTTCCCCAAGGTATAATCCATTAATACTTAAAATCTCATCACCAGCCTGTAAGAGAGAATTAACAAATGATGTAAAGTGTTACATTTCAAAATGAATTTAATCACAAAATAATTTGAAACTAGACTTTTCTTTTTTTTGTCCTAAGCTACAGTTGCATTTCTACATTCTTGAAATAAAGTAACATGAATCAAACTAGTTTGAAAATATTGAATGTCTAAAGTCATTTGAAACTACAACTGCTACATGTAAATATACTAGCCAAGGCTCTAAATTTAATAGAAACACAATTATTATACAACTATCTAAACTTAAGCCTTGAATGAGACAATTTCTTTTTTTTCCAAATTGTTTCATTAGAAAGATGTGCTGTGGAATCCAATACAAACACAATGTATGGACAGCTACAAATGAAGAAATGCCACACAAAGGGATGCAATGATTTCCCAAACACAACAACAAAGGAAGCCATACTGTAGGTTTGCATGTAAGTGAACCAGTACCTTCAAACCAACAATATCTGCTTGTGAACCCCGTGAAACAAGAGATACAAAGATTCCAACGCCATGCTCTTTACCTGCAGCACAATTTTAAAAAATTATATACTAATGCATTACTTAAGACATTTTAGGTACTGCTCTTGTCAAAACAAGGCCCCAATCTCAAATAGCCCACCTCTCTTCCTCCCCCTGATTAAAAATTTCATAACAGGCAGTACACCTACAATGAAGGCAGCAAATCAAAATAAAATGTTCTTGTAGTTTGAAGCCTACATTTGTTTCCAACTAAAATCTTAGAGGTTTCTCAAACCTACAAAGAAATCTATACAGCACACAGTATGGTGGACGGTCAGAACTGAAATTTAACATCTTATATTTAATCTAATATTTCTAAATGTCTGTAAATAATGTTAACCTTCTATAAATTTACTTCTGTCACAGAAAAAGAGATCCTTTATGGTACGCTGTTCAGTATAGTAGGTATTCATGAATGTATGTATTTTGATTATCCAACTACACCTAGACGAGTACAAATAACACCATAGATGAGTATAAATATCACACGGTATTTGCACTTGTCTATTGTAGTACCGGTTAAACAGGTTTTCTCGCATCGCGCAANTTTTTTCAGGTCTGATTTTCGCTATTGCATAAATAGCGCTCTCTACTGTGAGGATTGTGCATCATACGTATCTAATATCACAGTTCAAAATATATGAACTTCCTATATTCATTGTAGATCAACTTCTACCGGATAAGTTTGAATATTCTCATTACCTGTTTGGTAGATAACATATGGATATTGTTAGGAGAAGTTACATGTTAATCATTTATGGGAGTTTAAGGGTTAATTAATATTTGCCTCCCTCGATTCAAGGACTTAGAAAAGCACTGACAGTTAATAATCATACATTAAGTGTTTTGGTTATCATTTTGTGTCTTCAGTCATTTACGAGCACAGGGTTACCTCCTCGAACACTAAATCCAGTGGCATTATTCCCAAAGTGCTGCATCTTGATAAGACGTATTCCATCACTGAAATAAAAATACAATTAAAAATTGTGATATCTGCAGGGCTCAGCACTAACTTTTCAACTTACTAGCCAAGTGGCTAATGACAACCTAGATGTCATGACAATTTATTAGTCTGTTTACAAGCCAAACTGGCTAATGGAAATCAAAAGCCACAAGCCAAAACTGAATTTCTACTAGTAAGTGGCAAGTTGGCAACCATTAGTGGCAAGTTGGCAACCATTAGTGTCAAGCCCTGATCTATGATCAGAAAAAAACCATTGCGCACAGTTTCTGTTCTCACAAAAATTTATACTCTCACAAATATTTGCACCTTGAGATTATTGCAGTGGTAACTTTATGAAGACTTATCCTCACAGTAACATTAATACTTTGATTGAGACAACCATTACAAATTTTCAACCTAAATTTGGTATACATGTGGTTCTTGGACGTAAAGTTTGCAAGAATTCAACAAAGTGCAACTTACACAAAACCTTTGTATGAAAGCGATCCTTGCAGTAATGAACCCTAATTATGTAGTAGTACATAAGTAGTATTCATTATTGCCAGGATTGCTTTCATACATTTCTTAAAAGGGCAGTACACATATAAAATTTTGATACATTCAAATTCATTACACAAAACCTTTTGAAGCAAACCCTCTCTTAATGTACCAACATCTTTCCTCAGTTTTTATGGAATTTTTTTTTTTTTTTCGCCTTTTTGAACAATTGCTGTGGTTACCTTGTTATAGGCTAACCATTTCACAAAAATAATAAAAAACCATGGGTTTGAACAGCTATGAACATCAACACCAAAGGATAACCACATGAAATTCAATAATTTCATGTAGAATTATCTTTAATAATTCAAATTGTACACCTTGGTGACTTTGGAATCAAATTCTGGTAGGTAGTGGCATCCGTTGGCTTAATCACATGCCTACAGTGTATTAAAGATGTAAAATAATGATTAATAATACATATCAGTCCTGTACTAATTACAAGTACAATGAATATCAAATATACAATGTATGTTACACAAACAAGTGAATGTATACTTCTATGAGTATTATTACACAAAATAATTTGTTATCTGTGTTACTCATTAGGGAGGGAGGAGTCAGTTTTTCAGCCTCTAATATCAGTGACCCACACCTGAGGTGCCAGGGACTCTCTTTTGTTGCACTGTCCAGGTGATTCTGACTGCAGTCTGTCACTCAGTGACTGCTTAATTGACTGGCTTATTTACTGAGTTGCTGACTCAAACAAACTGACTGAAGAACCACGTGAACAACTGACAGACAGACTGACTGACTGACTGATATAAAAAAAAAAATAAAAAAATAATGATTAATTACAAAAAAAACTTTACCTCACTTCTCTGAAGAGTGGGTATCTCTTGGGAGTATTGATCACTGACTTGAGTTCACTGACAAGTTTTTCAGGTGAGTTTGATCTACATGCAACAAAATATTTCACATCTGAATAAATGTTAAAGTAAAGTAAAGTAAAGCAAACTTTATTAACAAATTACTATAAATGTTAGGACTAAACTGTGGTACTGCGATACATTTACTTTACAGTTATGGAATTCAGTGAACATACATAATCTCCTTGGAAATTAAACATATAGAGTCTCCCATTTCAATACGACATATCATAACTACAGTGCAATAGGACTCCACTGGCTTTCATTGCCATCATTACTTTGGCATCACTGTAAGTGCTAGAATACAGTCTCGCAATTGTTTCACCCTGGGAAATTCCTTTTAGCTGGCTTCTGAATGATTCTCGGAAAATAACCTTAGTGGTCATCTCCACTAAGATTTATTTGTAGCATTGAAATATCACATTTTGGTCTCCAAAGGTAGAGTACCTCTAAGAGGTACTCTACCAAAATCTCGTAATTTTATATACCTCATTTCAACTTAGAACTTTATATTCGTAATTTTTTTGTTCCAGAAATTGCATCTCCATAGCCACAATCTACCAAATCTGCTCCTACTTCACTCACGCCGTGGGCAAGATATTTTCCGTACAACCCCAAATTACATTATGCAAAAAGCTCACTGCTAAAAGCAAGCAAGGTGGAAAAAAGATGATTATCTTTCTGACTAGGGCTTTGTTTTACAATAGTATGGCACGGCTAGCAGCTCTAGCTTAGCATGCATCCCCATTCCAACGTATTTAAGTTTAGATTACTGAAAGCCAAGCCAAAGCAACAGCGATTTAAAAGTTACTTTGAAACTTACGATTGGTATCCCTTCAGGGCTTCATAAAATGAAACTCTTTCTTCATCATTCTCAATTAAGATTCTAACCTATAGAGATATGTGGTACCGTGAGCTTCCAAATTTGTATTCCCAACTTAGATCATCTTAGTTGGGAATAAAAATATGGCTTCTAACAACTTCACAGCTGGCTAAGCGTTCTCAAAAAAGAAAGTTCAGAGGTTTTTTACCTTATTTTTAAATTCTGTAGCATGTTTAGACAAAGTAAATAGATTCTCCTGCTCAAATCCTCGCCTCATATTTCTCTTACATGGCAAAAAAAAGTGCTGAAAGAAGACGTAACTCGGACAACAACACAGTTTAACCTAAGCCGCAGTAAAGGAAAGAACAGAGTTAGCAGAAGTCTGGTTACTGTTTTGAAGCCTTCGGGTCAGTGCGGTCAGCGACTTCTACTGTGAAGCATGACGTCACGATCCTTTCGTTTTGCCTCGGCCGTTCAGAACATTTGAAATGCGTTGTTTGGAATCAAATTTTGCGACATTCTAACGCAATTAGAACTCTTACGATGGATGTAGATTGCGAATTAGATGGCGATCTTTTAACAAAATTTAGTTGTTTGGGAACCACGGATCACGATGTTCTTATTAATGAACTTCAAAGACTGTTGGATTTTCAACTCAACCCGTCAGGGTGCGCTTTCTTCCTAGATATGACAAACTGGTAAATGTAAATTGTGTAATTTTCTTTTTCAAACCTACACTTCTGTAGTTTTATATTTTCTTTGCTTAGTTTCATTTTCTGGAAAAATCGTGACGCTAATCAATGGTTTTTGTTTTTCCGTCATGACTGTTTGTTCTGTCTCAAGGAATCTCCAGGTAAGATTATGGATATTTGTATTGGTTTTCTGTTTCAAATTAGCTTCCAAGGGTAACTTGTGTTCATTTAAAAGACATTTAATGTTTTTCATTTCTCTTGGTCAAACCTTCCGATGCTGGTCTATTAGTCTTTTTTTTTTCCAATGCTGCTTTTGTTTTTTCTTTTGTATATTCCCATATGATTAAAGTTTTTGTGTAATTTTGCACCTTACGATTCAAATTTTAATTGTTATTGTTGGGGTAGCTAGACTCCTGTTATCCGTTGCTGGTGTTGAATTGTGGTTATCAGCAGACGTTTTATGTTTTCGCGGTCGGGTATATTTGTGGTCTTCTACAGTATAGCTTAGAATTGTAAATTTACAGTTCATAGCAAATTATTTAATGCCTTTTGTAAGCCCCATGCCAGCTCTCAAGTACTGAAGACAGAGATACATACTAACATTTCTGGAATCTTTGGTTTGGAGAATTTGGATTTAGACCACATTTGAAATATTTCAACTCTCATCAACTATCAGCGCTATTTGAAATTGTATCAAAATTTCATTAACAATTCAGATCAGTCAAAGATTGATCATGAAAGGATGATTACAATATACCAGAGTGGAGAAACTTTCATGGTACAGCTGTAGATCTCAGGATTTCATTTATTTGCTCCCTGTTAAATCTTAACTCTGTGCATGACCAAGACAGAATTTCTTTTTACAATTATATACCAAAACAGTATTAAGCAGACAAGTGATAAGAATAAACTGAGAAAAGTATAAATTAGGGGAATTTATTAGTTGATCCAATACCAAATTATCCAAGCTAACATCATAAGAATTGTATGGCAAACCTGAAGGAGAATCTCTAGTGGATGTTAGGAGTAAAAAGTTTAAGCCTAAAAAGGAATGTCAAAACACTTGAAAGTAGATGTATGTGATCACTGGATCATGAAACTTAACCCTTTCATTCTTGAGTGACCAAACATGAGCTTCTCCTTACAATATCTATAGGCTTTTAAAGCAGTTGGGTAATGAGAAGAACATGAAATATCAACTAGGAAATATTTGATTTAGCACCAAACTATCAATCATTTCATATTATGGCAGTGAAAGGCTTAATTAATGACTACAGTGTCATCATGACTCAGTTAATTACCTACTGATTAACCAATGGAAGATACTTTCCTTCAAACTGACAGCAGAATTTATGAGGGGAAAAAACTCACATCACAGGAGTCCCTCGCATATCTTATAGATAAATAGTGAGAACTGGAACAGTTTATACTTATCCAACATTCACACAGAAAAATCCAGTGTCAGAACAGCCAATAACAGTTACTGTTTTTTTTCTCACTAAATACTTTATTCCCTGTTATCCGAAAAACATTCACTTTGCAGATTCAAACTTTGTATTTACAATTTAACAATGATTTGTCTCCCTTTAATGACACTGTGTTGTATCACTATTCAGATCACCTTGAATTTGTTTTTTTTTTCTTTTGTTTTTTTGTTTTTGTAGGCAGCAGTAGGGGCATATTATGATTTTAACAGTCCTCAAGACAAACTACCAAGTATGGCATTTATCAGAGATGTGACAATTGGAGAGGGCGAGTCTGTCCCACCCAACACAGCCTTTGTGAAAACATGGCGAATTCAAAATAATGGTAAAAATCTAAAATAGCATGTTTTTTATAGCGTTTCTACTGGTAACTTCAAAGGGTGTGGTTAGATACTGCTTTTTGTGAGAAATTCAGGAATGAGATTTTGTCTGATTCTCAAATAATTTAAAAAACAGTATCTTCTGTAAAGGGTGCCAAGATCCTAACGTGGACCTCTGAATCCAGATTCTAATGTGTCCACAATCAGCAGCCACATCTTCCATGTCTACATCATATGCATAATATAAATTAGAAGCTCATAGGGCATATTTTTTCCTTACAGGCAATACTCCTTGGCCAAATGGAGTGTTTCTAAAATACACATCTGGTGACCAACTGGGTCCCGTAAATTTGGTCTCTGTTAAATCTTTGAGTGCTGGCGAATTTTTTGACCTTAGTGTGAACATGATATCCCCTGCAAAAACAGGCATGTATCAGGGTCAGTGGAGGGTGTGTACACCATCTGGACAGTATTTTGGGGGTAAGTTAATTTACTGTAATAGCGTGTCATGTGCAATATTAGTCAAAAATTCATGTATGACAGAAGTTAAAATCATGTTATTTCCAGTTGAAATTATTATTTTTCCCAATATTATACATTTCCTAAGGCACTAACAAGGAGAATTAAGTTAAAAATATAGAGCTTTTCAAGTTTGCAATCATTTCATTAATTCTTAAATCTTGCAGTCCCTCTCTCCACTCAGGAGTATACATTGGTTCTTGCAAATTGTCAGGGAAGCCTGATGAAGCGCCAGGGGGAACTTTGGGATGGACTTGCATCCCATCCAGGGGAGGGGGAGAGTAGGGATGGACTAGCATCCCATCCAGGGGGAGTAGGGGTGGACTACCATCTCATTTAAGGGGGGGCAGGGATGGACTAGCATCCCATCCAGGAGGGATAGGGATGGACTAGCATCCCATCCAGGGGGGAGCAGTGATACTCTTAGTCCCTTCATGCCACAGAAACAAGGATGAGCTTGGATAGGGTGGGTCACTTGGCTAGAATATTAACTTGACCTTACCATACACTAATGGGTTGTGCTATTCATTTGTCTTAGATGTTATATGGGTCATTCTCTGTGTGGATGAAGGAGGATTGTTAGGACTCACACAGCAGCTGTCATCATTAGGAAGGGAAATGAACTTTCATGAAGGATCCAGCCCTTCATCACCCTCTGATAATCCTTTTGGACTTTCAACACCTATATCAATTTCCCCACAACCTATTTATTCTGTTCCCCATAACAGCCCAGCTAATGGGGTTATCCACGTTTCACCTGCTAGGAGATCTCTTTTTAATTCCACTGTAAGTGAATTTTATTCATTTGTTATTAATCAGCATTGTTCTAATAATGTTACGAGTTGCTGCAAAATTGAAGCGCAGGCTTATGATGTCGACAAAGATGGAATTTACAGCTACTGATATACTATATGCGGTTTTTCATTTTTATTATTTGAATTTCAACACAAATGAATCAAGTGCCCTTATACTATAAATTATGGCTAGCTTCCTGAGCTCAATTCAGTAAAGCCTTAAAATAAGCCTCAGTAACATACAGGATTTCCCTGAGGCATGCTAAATATGACAAAAGAAAGCAAGTTGGGTATCAAGTTCACTCATATCACTGCTATTTTGAGGCATTCTTTGCTATTTAATCACTGGTTTTTACAATTGATTCTTTATAATTCAAACCCTTACCTACTTCAACCAAAATTGATTTTACTCTGATATTCATCATAATTATATTTGCTACAGTTTTTATAATCTACTTTCTTGCCATCATTTGGTCCCATCAAGCCTACTATGTAGTAATGGCTGATAGTTTCAAAAGAAACTGTTTGGGGCTGCGTAGCTGGGAGTAACAAAATAATTTGGATATATCAACAGAGTTGAAATTATGGTAAATTGGCCACCGTAACGATTACAAAAGCTGACGTTTGGAACGTTAGCCCTTCATCAGAGCGAATAAAGGAATTGTAGGTGTTGTGTGTTTTATATGCAGAAAGTGAAGCCACGCTATTGGTGGGAACATGGCAACGAGAAAAACAAGAATAAATTAGTGGAATGAAAGTATTACTATGTAGAAAGTACTACTATGTAGTAGTTGGGCACTACCACTAACTGAGCTGCAAAGCCAAACATTGGGAGTGATGCAAAGTTTACAAGGTTATTCTTCGAGTCCAAATCCTGTGGAAGCCTTGATTTTTTTAGGCTTGTTTACTAAAACTGCAGCTCACAGGATCATTCATTTGCTTGTTTTTGATCTGCAGGTCAAATGAAATTTGTTTCACTAAAAGTTGTTAACTGAAATAGGATTAAACAGCTGTAAATATTGATATGACCTTTTAGATACTAAAACAGTGGATAGTGTTGAAGGCGTGCTCTGATTGGCTATTCAAACTCCGAATATCCTTTGCTATTTCCCTCCAAGCAACTTGGGAAAAAATGGCGTCCCGGTTTGCATCCGTGACAAGCAAAGAAATCACTCAAATTAACGACGGTGGTGTATATTATCTCACTGTTTTAGTATATACTAAAACAACTATTCACCTCAGTGTTGGTGGTTAGCAGTAGACATTTACCTTGCCGCTTCACAGCTCAGTAAATATCCACCACTAACCACCTCCACTTCCGTGAATAGTTGTTAATTATTCTATGGCTGTGTCTTTCAAGGACTGAGAACTACCAAATTCACGAATTTGATTGGCTGAAATCAATATTGAAAGCAGTCTAGATTTTCCCATCTAGACCAGCATCTAGACCGGTCTAGAAAATAAAGGTACAAAGAATATAAAAAATTGGCATATGAGACACAGCCATATAATAAACATCTTATTAACCGAGCTATGTCGGTCTGTGTGGGAGAATCTTGACCAAGGTCAAGATTCTCCCATACAGACCTCCCGCTCGGTTAATAAGAACTAAATAATCATTGGCTCTTTTTCTTATAGGTCAATGGAGAACATGTAGAACCTCTCATCACTCCTAGTATACAAGTTGGATCAGTGTTCCATGGCAAAGAAGAGGAAACTTTAGTGAATCAATTAAGGGATACATCTCTAGTACAAGACTCAGACCTAGATCATTCATAACATTTGCATTGCTAGTTGGTGTTTGATATTTTGAAGGTTGTAGGTCCTGTTCTGGGGTCAGAATTAGACATTCAAGGAGTAAATTAAATTCTTACTAGAGATTTGATTGCTCAAATTTTGATGAATATTCAAAGGTTGTAAACAGATTTTTTTTCTCAAAACTGGCAGCTGAAAAGTCACTTCTAAAACTCTACACAGGAATATTTTACTATATATCTCGATTAGGTAGTCTGACATAATGTCATTTAATCAAGCTGATATAATTTCATTTGGCATATTGTTGTTTCAGCCAAAAGAACAAGGTTAACGTAAGGTAACTTATCTAATATGCACATGCTTTTGGTATTTCTTTAACTCCCAAATGTGATTAACATGTATTTTCTCCCTAGAATATCCATACAATATCCATCAAACAGGTAATTAGAATACTTAGGCTTATCAGGTGGAAGTTTTGTCTTTATCCAACAAAAAAGTCTTGGAACTAATTTTCAAGGAAATGTGTAGCAACTGGAGAGGAGAACGAACAATCGGATCTTGGAAGTTTGAGGAGGGTAAAGTGGGGTTGGGGATGGGAAGAAGACTGCAACAACTTGGGCTACACTTTGACATCAACTAGGTAAATGAAAAGTTCCATTCAGTTGGTTTTTGTCTTTTGAACTAAAAAGCACAGGCAAATACACCGAATGCAAATATGGTGTCCAATTTAAGTTGCCATTGTTCTGGACTGACTAGCCTCTCACACATGTAATAATGCTTTAATTTGTATTTCCACATGAAGATGAGGCTAGTCAGTCCAGAACAATGGCAATTCAAATTCGATGCCATATTTGCATTCAGTGTATAATATCTTGCAACTGCCTGGGAATGGAACTCACAACTTCTACAGGGCTGGACACTTAATGGTAGCTATCTAACCACAGACTAGTACAAATTCAGTTTTGGCTGGTGGTTTTCGATTTCCACTAGCCCAGTTTGGCTAGTAAACAAACAAATTGTTGTAACATCTAAGTTGTCAGTGGCCACTTGGTTAGTAAGTTGAAAAGTTATTGGCGAGCCCTGTTTCACATCGTCATCCAAGATGGTGGCCAGGTCAAATTCCCGACCCTGAGGTAGTCCCTACTCAAGGGGGGTTCTCTCATTGATTTTCCCATGAGTAGCCTGCCCCTCCCATCCTGGGACAAACCATTGATAGGTACATTATTTGGAAACCTAAGTCAAATTTTACCCCTTGTAGCTAAAATACCATTGGATAAACAAGCCACCCAGTCACAAAGTAATGCATATTGCCTTCCATATTTAGTCCAGCCCATATTTTAAAGTTTGCACATGTGATTTGGTAGGGGCTGTAATTTAGATGGTTTTAAATTAAACAATTGTAGTTTTGGCTTGCCCACATGTAATTGTCATGAGGAAAATGTTTTATGAATAACATGGTTGTCATGCTTTAATGTTGTAAAGGACTGGTAATTATTTATTGCCTGTTGAAGGGGGGGGGGGTGGTCAGAGAGAGGACTTTGGTTGTGTCACAATGAAATTTACCTGATCCCCCATAAGGCTCTGCAACGTTGTTGTGAACCACTCTAATTGGTTGTCAATTTTCTATAGTCACCCCCACCTTCCCCCCTTTATACTCTGTTGAAGAAGAGTGATCCCTGACCAATTCTCCATTCCCCCAGGCAACAAATGATAACTGCTCCTTAAAAAAAAAAAAGGATTTATTTTGTAAAAAGGAAGTTTTTAGCCGTAATGAGGTTTATTTATGATACACATGTTACACTTGTGTAAACGAAGCATCACTTGTTGTTCACAGTGTCATAAAATTTTTGCTAAATATAGTGGAAAACCCTTAATAATCCACATTAATCATCATGGGATCTCTCATTTAAAAGCGATTTTTTTTTTTAAGCTACTTGAAGTTAGCAGCAAGTTTTTTTTTCAGAATTAATGGTCACAAAATTATAAAATCTGTTCAACCTCCAACCGTGTCATGTAATTTTTTCCTCCTACCCCTCAAATAGAGCAAAGGGAGATTTAAAAAAATTGACTCTGCCATTTTTGAACCCTCGATAATGCAGAAATATTTAAGCAATAGACCACACTTTCTACCGGCTTACCTGCATGATTAGTCACGCGGAATGTCGGGAGGAGACGAGAAAAGTGTGTAAATCGTTTGCCTGATCTCCCGACATCTAGCATGATAGAAAGTGCAGTCTCTCGTTTTTATAAAACATAGTTAAAATGTTTCAGTTTTGTATGAGTTTACAGGGGAAAAGTCAACGATAGTTTTTTGACCAATCAGTCCCCTCGTAGCATCTTAGTCATTTTATAATATTTGGTCCGCCGTGCTATCGTTGCATTACTTTGCATCATTGGATTTTCTTAGATCGTAGTTTTAATTTTGAATCGTGGCTTAAGTTACCGTGACGTATTTCGTGAAGTAATAGCCCCTTTTGATTTTTTTTTTTTTTTCCGGCGAACACTGACGAACGTAGAAAACGCCCTTAAGATCAGTTTCCATTTTTTTTATTAACGATGTTAGCGAAAACTTCGGAAAACTAATACACTCACTAGCCTAGGTATTGTGTCTCTGGCAAACTCTTATACTTAGAGTGAACATTTCAGCTGTTGATGTGGTCTGACAATTTTACGATCTCTTAGGGCCTGATTACATGAGCCGGGCTGATTTCTTTTGTTTTCACGCTTTGGCGAACACCAAAACAAAAGAAATCAGCCCGGCTCATGTAATCAGGCCCTTACTTTCCATTCATCCCGCGAAACTGCAACTAAGTTAAATAGATGGCCATTAAAAAGAAAACTGATTGGCAGAAATAAAACATTGAAACTTGGCTAACTTCTCCATTTTGCCTTAGATAAAAGCAATGTTCTGTAGTATTGTAGCTTGTGTAAGCTAAAATTTCGAATATCTTTTAATTTGCTTCATACTTAAAATGTTTTGACTATAATTAGAGCGAAACAAAACTGCATCCTACTGATAAGAAACGCAACAAAGTTAATCCCAAAATCCAGCTTATTTTTACATGTTAGGTGTCATGTTGTCAGTGATGACTCTTCGCTGTCTTGCATGAAAGAGGTAATTTACCTCTAGGTTCTTGAGTGAAGCACTTCAATACAAAAGACTTCGCAAATAATATAAATACTATTTATATTGAGTTTGGTCAAACCCCTGCTGGTTTCAATGTCTAACTTACTTAATCCAACTGTCGAGATATTTTTCATGACTCTTGCTTTGAAAGAGCCTCTGTTGTTTCAATTTTGAACTTTGAGTCACGAAATGGCTGTTGATTTTTAAGCGTTTCGGCGATGAAAACTTTGTACACAGTTTTTCATGTTATTATTTGTAGTCGTTTCGTGCCTCTCGGCTAGTTGATTTGGTGTTGTGAACTTGAAATTAAACAATGCCCACAAAAGGAGAAATTGTTGAAATAAGTCTTGAATACTAAAATAAGTTATCCATCATGAAAAAGAAAAGATGCTACTCACAAGAAATTTCTCGGCGTTATTCGCATAGCTGGAATGATAGGCATTTGACCCTGCTTCCAGACGTTGGGTCTGTTTGAAACAAAATATGATAATAGAGGGTGTCAAAAATAAATCATATTCGTAGCCATCTGATCAAAAGTGACGTTTTCTACTCGAAACCGTGGTTTAATCTATTTTAATCATTGTTGGGAAAATTATGTTGCCACGTTATCACTCACCTGTTAATAAGTTTATCAGAAGCAATCCTGTGTTAAGGTTTTAAACAAATTTACAGACAGACTGAAAGAGGCGGAGATTCCTTGAATTGTTTCGAAAACTCCTCAAATTGAAATTTACATTTAAGCATAAGTCTAACAAAAAAATTCGATCTTGATTTGTAAATCATCTTGGCGCATTTCCGAGCACTTGACCGAAAAAAGCCAATAGAGGTACTTCGTGCATGCTGTTACACAACGGCGCATTCTTATTGGCTTAATCACCCGTGTGGAACGTGAACAATAATCCATTTCAAGTAAACATTTCACCAGCGCTTTCAAATATCTAGGTGTGTTTACAAAGTCACTGCATTGGTGTCAACCATCAAAGTTCTTAGCATTTGGGTCCGTTCGCGACAACACAAACGAGAAGATCCGTACGCAACTCGTTCAAAGACACAATCTTATAAGACATGGATCCTGTGAACGGTGATGCGAATATCGAGGGAGTGAACCATGCAGATGATTCTAGAAACGGAGAAGTGGATGATCCACAACTTGTGGCAGTGAAAAGTGCTACTTATTGGGAAGAGGTGGACCAAGAAGAAATCGAACGCGAACGAATGTAAGTTGTAAAACTGTGAGTGGAATGAAAAGGTTATTTCGATACCTCGCGTTACTGGGCAGAAATTGGAGATTTCTTTTACGGGATGGCTATAGATTAATCTTAAAAATTCATGTGATGTTAATCATGTGTTCCACCACAGCATAGCTCAATTTTCCTAAATTTATCAATTGGAAAGATCGACCTTTTTTGCGGTTTTGAACTTCAGATGTGACAATTATTACAATTTCAGTCTAGCGCTTTCGTTTGCAATTCTTTACCGGTGGTTTGGGAAATTATTTGATGACTCTAGCGCTAAAGGTTTGTTTGTACAGAGATAACTTAAGCTCTGGTGGATGTTTTCACATAATGTCTGTGCCCTTAAACAACCCGGACCCAAAAGATAGGAAATCACTGTTTTTTAACCTGAAGTTTAATTCAGTGACAATCTTGAAAATTTATGCATCTCTTAACATTTACAATAGCCCTACTGGATGCAAAAGTATGTCTTTTTTGTGCAAACAAACTAGATTGAGTATTTCGAAACTGGGTCCGCTACCAAACGAACTTTCGTCCCCAAGATGACTTAAAACAGTAACTGACCACGGAGATCTTGACCGAGTGTAAGAACAACCTTGCCATAGCCTTCTTATCAAAATTGTTTCAAGAAATTTTTTCAATGAAATATAAATGACCTCTGTAGGATGGAGCTCGCTGCTTTTGTACTACGACAGATGGTAATTTTAGCGAAAATCGTCACGCCACAATATCTTCTAACATTTCAATACATGTCATGGCTCACAGCCAATAAAATTGCCTCATCCGAAGTCCCTTAATCCCGTGCCAATTGATCTCAAATCGGGTGGTCAGCGTATTGTTTGAAGGATTTGTACGAATTAACTTCAAATCCGTGGAGTTCTAGCGTGTTCTCGTAATAAAAACTGCATTATCTAGGATTGAGACAAAATCAACATTTTGTGTAAGATCCGAGTGATGTCAATAATGATAATACATGCTAGTATACGGTAGTTTTGACAGACACTTGAGATAGGAATATTACAGTACGTGGTTTTAAACCCTTCCCAACCTTTTAACAGAGACGTAACAAAAGAGAAAACACTTTGAATCGCAGAGATTTTTTCCAAAGAGTCGTTGAAAGACAAAAATTCTTGAACCCTCTAATTTACGAGAGGGGCACTCAGACATAAAAAAGAATCCGTTCGTGGCAAAGGAAATACTGAACCTAGCTTCGGATGCCTTTAGGATGGACTTTAAATAAACACATTTTGATCTGTTGAAGGAGATTATGCGTTAAGCATAACGAATGTGATTGAAATGCCAGCCTCGGGCACAATGTATCATGAGTAGATAATTTCGTAAGTACCTGCTTTTAAGCTCGTTTATTGCTTTACAGTATAGTTTGTCTGTCGTCAGAAGATGACCCATTCGCTTCACCAGTTTATCTTTTTTTCTATTTTTTCTAACTCACGAATCGTTTAACGGCCCAGAAACGGCAGTAAGCACATCTAAATTTATAGAGCTGATCTCAATTTTTTTATCCCAGCTGATGGATCAATTTGAGTTAAACTATTACGTGAATTTATGTGGGAAGCGAGGAGTTACAACATTTTTCTGTGTATCACAGGAAAAAATAAGGCATGTACAAATACTGAAACAATTTTGTCCACGCTTGAAAGATACCGTAGTGATGCAGGGCCAACTTCCCGCTCTTTCGCAACCTCTTTGTTTTTCTTTCTTCAAGTGGAAATCTAGAGGAAAACTGAAGTGGTTTTTTATTTAGTTTCCTGAAAAACAAACTTATCTCAAGGATATGTGAATAAAAACCTATTACAGTTTGTTTTCATGATAAACAGTCAAGTTTGTTTAACTTGACGCAAAGTTAACATTGCGTTGACAAGTTGGATATCCACAAAAGTCAAAAGCTGCGGGCAAAAATTGTACTCCACGGGGCTAGGGTTGTGACCAGAGTGTAACGCTTGCGCGTAATTTTTGTTAGCTGCTTAGTGATTGTCAAATCAGACCTGCTAGGGTAATCTTCCTAAGCCCTTTTATATTTCATTCCTTGCGTAAGACTACAGTTCAAGTCCAATTAAAACTACTTTTGAAAGGAGCCCATGTTATTGACTGCACTCTGTAACTCTAGGTCAAAATTCTCCGTGGGGGGTCTGCAGGGGGTGGTTTTGACAAGAATGACTTTTGAAACTGTAGCTATTGATAAAAACAATTAGTGGCAATTGCAGTTCTATATGATCGCTTCCATAAAAAAAAAAAAAAGAAAAGAAATGGGGAAATTCATTATTTTATTTGCTGTTTTCTCATGAATAGCAAAAAATACACTTTCTCTGCCGACTTTCAGCTGGAAATATTTCGATCTTTGCTTAAGTTCCCATTTTCTCTGTAAGATGTACCTTCATCTATGTAACAAATCGAATATTAAACGAACCGAATTTCTCGTAGATGACAGAAGTGTAAGATAGTCAGAATCTCTCTAGGAAAAAGGACACCTCAGAAAGATAAGAAAATTTAAAGCATACATGCCATGTGAACGTTTACGCGACAGCTACCAGCGCTACGTAAGGATCAAACAAGAAATTGAAAAGATATTACAGAGTTGTCAAATTAAACGGTGGACGATGCACAGCGATATTTTATTGATTATTTGAGTATTATCCCATGCCACCTGTTCAACCTTATTTTGACGGAGCTTAACAGAAATATTCCTTTCCTACCTGGTTTCAAATCAGGTTTAATGAAAGAGTTTCAGACAGACGAGGCTCTTTGACAATTAAAAGCCGAGTCTTGGTAACTTTATTGAAGGTAATCAAGTCCTGTGATGGTATTGGTAGAACTAGAATTGTTTACTACCCGCCCTGCAAGACCGATACGCTAGTCAACGCGGTTCTAATTTGGGTATTTTATCCTCATTGCTGGTGGCGTGTTTTGGCGGCTCTTTTAGTCGATTTCAGCAACTCTATCCGGCGAATATTGTATTCCGCCGATCAGTTTCGATTTAGACCGTTTAGGTATGTATCACTATCGCTGATTTATACATTTTTCCAACCTGTAAACAAACCAGGTTTAAAACTTCAGGAGTACTGACTTATCCATTGCTGTTTTGTGGTAGCTCGATGGTCAAATTCGACGGCAAGATGTCGATAAATAACAAAGACAGAGCGTCTTTCAAACTTATCAACCGCTATATGACTGGACTTCAAAGATCGTTACGTGTCCAGAATGAAAAGTTTTAAGATTATCGCTGTGAATTTGATAATTTCTGCCGTCAAACAATATTATGCAAAGTAAAAAATATTAGATTTTTTGATAAATACATCTCGTAATGCTTTCATTTACTATAAAACGAAACTCGAAGTACATGTTTGAGAATTACTGGTATGCTGGTTTAAGCCATGAGGGAATCAACATTCGAATCCAAAGGTACTTTCGAAAAGCCAAGAATAATCAGCCCTATAGCCTCTTCGAGCACGATTATGACTATTATTCCTTCGAAATTTAATTTCATATTCTGATTTTTGAGTTACTTTTATTGCCCTGAGGCTTCCATTTGGAAAATTTTCGCAATTGTTGTATTTGTTCGATAGGGAGAATAAGCATAACTCTTTGATAGACAGACAGGGATCCAATTTTTTACGACTTGTAATTGTTTGGATTGACAATGTTATTTTTGGATCAGATAAGGTTTCATAATTTATGAGATGTGATAAGATAACCCTTTAGGTCAAGGTTATATTAAGCACGCGTTTTTCGATTTTTCCGAGAACACTTTTCTAAGAATGGCAGGCGGCTTTGTGGGTGCTCTTTGTTTGCCGGGCTATATCCGCCGTTTACAGTTGAGGCTATCGCCTAACTTTGTCATTGACTGAAATTTTTTGGCAGATTTTCACTTCCTGCCATTTTGACCGACGGTATAATGATTACTTTAGATACAATGAAATATATGAAGTTCATATACTTTTGATTACTTTGTTCAAAATTTAATCAGTTTCATCGTCTAATTGTTTTCCATATTTCTGAAACGTGATTGTTGGTGAGATTAATTTTCTTTAGCATATCTCATTAGGAAACCCATTTAGTCATTCAGTTAGTAATCCGGTCAGTTATTCAGACAAATAGATCGATTAAAAGGGGGTAGGTTTGTATAAACAGTAGGGCTGCGTCAAGGAGGGGGGAGGGGTAGGGGGAAAGGGATTGGTATAACAAAATCATTTGGTTTTATCAACTGATTTGATAATGTAAATTGGCCACCGTTAAGATTTTCTGAAGCTGACATTTCGAGTGTTGAATCTCCGCCTGAGTGAATGAGGAGTTATCCCCCAGCAGACAGTCAGATCGTTTTTTCCTTTAGGTTAGTCTATTTTTGCCAATAACTGGAACTGGAATCATCGTTGATTGTTGACTTGTAAATTTTGTGCAACATTTTGCAAAGAGGCTAATTTTTTTTATATATTGGAGCACTTAGTATTAGAACAATACATATCGACAGAATATTGGCTCACCTTTGTCTTTTGTTCCTTTTTCTTTCAAGGGAACAAGAGCAAAGGGGGAAGATTTCAGAGGAGGAGCTCCCAAGAACCGGTAGCGCAAGGAGAGCCAAGGAAATCTTTGAATCTAAGCCACAACAGCAAGAGAAAGAGACTCCCTTTGATTTGCAGATACTTTCCGGCGTGACTAAAGCTAGCATGAAGAGGTATCAAGAACATCAGGCTTCAAAAGCAAATTCGCGTCAAAGAGAAGTTGAAGATCTCGAAGATATCCAGGGTGGAATAGCTTCTTCAAACAGAGAGGCCTTTGAAAAAGGTAAAGTGAGTAATGTGGAAAGGAAGATAGAAGGTGAAGAAGAAGAGCATTTACCAACCGCAGGTATCGCATCCAAGACGCGTGCAAATTTCGAGTCTGGTCAGGTCAGCCATGCCGAGGACAGGCACGTGAGTGAGAAGGATATTACCGAAGAAATGCCTTCAGCTGGTGCAGCTTCCGACGTGCGACGTCGATTTGAGAAGAGCAGTGAAGGTGAAGAAAAGGCACAGAGGCGCTTGAGCTTTGAACCGGAGAAAGGGGAGGCAAAAGCAAGGACTGCCATGTACATGCAAAGTTTGGAGGACTCATCGAACAAGAATCAGGCCTTAGACGAACAGGATGCTCTTCCTGCCCCAGGCAGTGCTCGAGGTGTAAGGCAAATGTTTGAACAGGATAAAGTTATCCATGCAGAGTCGAATCTTCAAGATTCTTGGAAGGAGGAACTTCCACAGTCTGGTGCTGCTCGAGCCACAAAGGAAGCCCTTAAAGCAGCAGCTACGAAGGGATATGAAAAGTCCCAGATCGAAGATGAAGTCCTAAGTCCTGGCTTAGCTTCTGCCGCCAGAAATCGATAAGAAAAAGGTGAATTTGAAGAGCAAAACGTAATCGAGCGAGAGGAACCCGTTGTGTCACCAGGATCAGCCAAAGAACAAATGAAGAATTTCCAGGAAGCGGCTTCAAATCAGGTACCGAGAAGGCGAACCATGGACAACGAGAGAGATGAACTGGAAGCTGCCCGTGGTGTAGCTCTTGCCGTGAAAACAAGTTACGAAAAGGAAGGTGTACCTCATACAGAAACGAAAAGAACTATTGCCGATGAAGATTTCTCCGTTATTCAAGGGCGTGCTAAGGAAGCGACGCGAGAAATCGAGTCGGGCGGGTTTATCAAAGAAACACCCAAGATGGTCGACACAGAAGACTTTGGCGTAGCTCGTGGCGTCGCTAAGGAAACAACCCAGCGAATAGAAAAGGGAGAACTAATTAAAGGGGGGCACAAGATGGTAGAGGACGAAGATTTTTCAAACATCTCCGGCCGAGCTAAGCAGACAACGCAGCAAATAGAACGAGGTGAGATGATTAAAGAAGCACACAAAATGGTGGAGGACGAAGACTTCTCAGGAATCTCGGGAGTGGTCAAGGGAACAAGGCAACGGATTGACAGCGGCGAAATGGTTCAGAAAAAGGCAGTCCGAAATTCGGATGCCGGCGATCTGATGGGAATTCAATCTGTGACGAGTAACCGCGCAGTGTTTGACCAAAACGGCGATTGACTCTGTCTAGGAAAAACTGGTTGAATAGGACTTCATTAATACGTAACTGACCATTTAACGACCGACGTCGCTTGTCAAAGATCAATTTCAACCCTTTGTATATACAATCCAGAAGTCCCCCTGGCTACGCCCCTGTGTCAGAGGTTAAATTAAATTGTAATAACATAACCTGCAAAAGAAAATCGTCACCTAAACAAACCTCGCGAAGGAAAGACAACTGCGGGTCGCTTTCGTTTGAAATGATATGTTATTCTTCAGTGTTAGCGTAGATATAAAATGATATCTAATACAAAATGCATTTCCAAGAGTTTTTTGAGATGACGTAGTATGAAATTTCACGAAAATGACTCTCAGCCAATAGGTGCCGACCAACTTGTGGTTGGTCAGCCCTACCTGGGAAAAAGCCGGAGTGGAGTATGTAGTTGAACCCTTAAATCAGATCCATAGACAGATTAGAGTCTGTTTTTCAGAATAATTCTAACTTTGGATGAGGGTGGTTCAGGGATCGCTGTTGAATTAGTAAGAGATTGTAAATTATGTGCTCCCACTCAACGATTTAAGTACATCAATACAAATTGCACTGAATAACAAAATATGACAAAAGATTGGTACGATCTATTGTAATTTGATTTTCATAACAATAAATTTATTACACATGATATCAATGTTGATTTACACAAAGTCAGATCAAGGTTTGTTCGTAAGTCGCCCTCCACTCTACTCTTAGAATTATTTCATCATCTCCGAATAACCGAATAACCCAAAGTTTGGTTATCGTGAAAAGAATCACAACAGAAAATGGAGCGAGATTTTGTGACCAGTCAAAGATCCCAATGGTGCATAACAAATGCAAGACTGCGTGAGAAAGTGGCGGGAATTTTCCGAACCAATCACCAAACCAAGTAACGCAAAACTAATGTAATCCAGGATTGCTTTCAGCACTCAATTGAAACTGCTTTGGGCGAGTGAGTTTTTGAGAACTTACATACTTTTGAGGACTGCCTTTACTTCAACTAGACCGTTTAGCCGGTTCTTATGCCCTTTTCGGTAACCGTACGTAAATGTCGCTCAGGGATGAACAAAAACTGATGAAAACGAGATGCGCTCCTATTAAATTTACAGTGAACAGCCTGGACAAAGCTTGATACATTAATTGAATTCGCTGGCATTGGAACGAGCTTTCCCGCATCTCGGGTATTCTTCGTGTTTTTACACAGAGCGCTCGTCGGTCTCGTTGATATTAGGGATCTTAAGCAGTCAGGACGGCAACGCTAAGGAAGACGCCGATTAAAAAATGAATTTCTACTTTTCATTAGAATTTCGAAAATGGCTGTATGTGTTTGCCATCTCTTACGCCGCCACACCTCAGCTTCAGCATAACTCACATTAGCAGCGTTGAGTTCCAAATGGAAATTACAATAAGTTGCCGTCGTCATTTCCTTGGGCAGACGACGCAAATTTTGATGATTTCACGTTGTTGTTTTGCAAAGAAATGTACAACATTTTAAAACGCACGTGCTGGCTATTGTTCTGCCCATTAAATCTTTTGTTTTGCCACGTCGGCGACGGCCACGAGGACGTGGAAAACTGAAGAGATCTAATTGGTAGAACAATAGCTCGGCACGTGCATTTTGAAACTTTGTACATTTCTTAGCCGTCCTATGCAAAACAACAACGTGAAATCGCCAAAATTTTCGTCGTCTGCGAACCGAAACCGCGACGGCAAATTATTTTAATTTCCATTTGGAACTCAACGCTACTTTAATACGTCGTGCTGAAGTTGAGTTGTGGCGCCGTATAAGACAGTAAGCTCCTGCAACCATTTTTGAAATTCCAACTAAGAGTAGAAATTAATTTTTTTAATCGGTCTTCCTTGGTGTTGCCGTTCTGATTGCGTAGGGTCCCTATTAGGAACCTTAAGAAACCACGACGGCGACGCCAAGGAAGACTTCGATTAAAAAAAGAATTTCTACTCTTGGTCAGAATTTCTAAAATGGCTGCACGAGCTTACTGTGTCATACAGCGCCACAGCTCAACTTCAGCACGACGTATAAAGTAGCCTTTGAGTTCCAAATGGAAATTAAAATAATTTGCCGTCGCGGTTTCGGTTCACAGACGACGCAAATTTTAGCGATTTCAGGTTGTTGTTTTGCATAGGACGGCTAAGAAAAGTTCAAAGTTTCAAAATGCACGTGCTGAGCTATTGTTCTGCCAATTAGATCTCTTGTTTTTCCACGTCCTCGTTGCCGTCGCCGTGGTGGTTTCTTGAGGTCCCTAGTAGGGACGTTAAGCAGTCAGTACTGCAACGCCGCGGAAGACTTCGATTAAAAAATGAGTTTCTACTTTTAGTTAGAATTTCGAAAATGGCTGCATATGTTTACCGTCTCATACTCAACATAACGCATAAAAGTAGCGTTAAATTCCAATTGTAAATTAAAACAATTTGCCGCCGCGGTTTTGCTTCGCAGACGACGCAAATTTTGGTGATTTCACGTTGTTGTTTTGCAAAGGACGGCTAAGAAATGTACAAAGTTTTAAAACCCACGTGCTGGGCTATTGTTCTGCCAATTAGATCTATTGTTTTTCCACGTTCTCGTTGCCGTAGCCGTCGTGGTTTGCTTAAAGTCCCTATTTCCTTTTTGTTTGAGTGGCTTTTCAGAAAAAATTGGCATTAGCTTTTTCCAGGCTCTAAGTCAAGGCACACCGGAAAAAAAGGCAGGCTTTCTAGGCTAGTTCGGTTGTCAGGCTAAACGGGGGATGCCCAAATTAATTTAGTTTTAGTTTAACGGCGCCAATTTAAAAGTGTACTAAAACGTCAGAGAGAGAGTATAGGTTTATGGGACTTTTAGAATGGGGCTTGTAAAAATATTGCCATAAACGACACAACAACAGCAAGAACAAAAATCCAGATACAGATATGGTTCAGCACCAGGGCCGCCTTTCTCCACTCGTCCTGCCTCGCTTGCAAAATCATCTGCTGGCGTACATTGTCCGCAAGGATCTTATTGGTGCTCTTCTTATCATCTGGCACGTGATTTTGACTGTTGCCGCTTCTTTTTGTGTTGTTACGCAATTTCGTGTCCTTAGCAACAAGTGTTTCCTTATCATTCACTGAAAAGAAGAAGATAAACTTCTTTACTTCTCCGTGACGCAATTACAACGAAAGAGCTGATCTCGTTTTACTCAGAACTTTTAAGAAATTACGCCTTTTGGAGCTGACATCAAATGCTTGTTTCTACTTTCTGGCTCTAGTAAGAAGGCCCTTCAAATAAAAACAATTTTCGCCAATTTAGTATAAATATAAAGAGTTAACAGGAAACTTACAGGAGGTAGAAATATCTTCCATAATCGTGTTATCTAATGTCCTTAAAAAACAGAAGCCTTCAATCTAAAGCCTTCCAAGCGACCTTTAAAGACCGACTTCAGAAAGGAAGAAAGCTTATTTCAACGAGACAACACTTTTGAACGATTAAAGTAACTGAGTCATCGGAGCATGTATTTACACACAAAACCTAGCGTCACCCATTCTTCAAATACTGATTGGTATGCTCTGCACTTAAATATTACGCAATGAAAATGTCATTACTTGTATGACCAGCAATGCTTTCTGCCGAAGGCACATCGCTGTCCTGTAGAGAGTCACCGAAAGGGTTGCTGTTCTCGAACTTAAAGCGGAAAAGCTTCGCTCCGTAACCAAGCAGATAGACCTTGGAATTTGAATGAAAAAAGTGGTCACAGTAAGGAATATAGTACTAAATTGTAGGCGAGACATTTGTAGTAACTGTATTATTATTGTTGTTGTTTTCTCGTGTAATATCTTTATTTTGTTGCTATTCCTGTTGTTGTTGTTGTTGTTGTCGTTGTTTTTGTTAGTGTTGTCGCGGTCAATACTGTAACAACTGATGATAATGATAATGCTGACGACAACTACTATGACAGTCTTGAAGATGGTCTAATGGTGATAAAGATAATATTGACCGCGACGACGACGATGTTAACTGGTGGTAACTCATCAGGGACAAATACAATGACAGTGACATACAGATGACAAAGACAGTGTCAATTATAACAACAATGAAGATGATAACGATCACAAAAGTGACAATAAAGATGACGATGATGATTTTAAGGAAAGTGACGGTGACTGTGACAAAGAGAATGACAATTGCAATGGCAACAACGATAACGATGACTATACGGATGAATGATGATGATAGCTAAGGATGATAATAATGAATATGATGATCAAGAAGGCCGTACTTTTACCCATTTAGGAACCTCTCCTTCAGTCGGGTTTTGATGGTGAAAGCGGAGAACCCAACACGTCATGAAGAAGGCACAGGATACCTCTATCATAGTCACCGTGTAATACATTCCCACCAGAGGTACTGCTTCAGACGTGGCCGGCATTTTTTCAGCGACAAGAAGAAAGAAGAAACTTAAGCCAACGAGAATTGCCATGCCTGAAAAAAAGGTCACATAGCTAGCGATCAGTACAGAGTGCTGAAAAGAAAATTGATGAGACTGTAGACGATGATCTCATTTGCTTGTTTTGACGTAAAAATTCGAAGCGCTTGCCAGGCAAGTCTACGTACCGGATTAGGTATACTCTTTGGTAATTAGACCAAAGAACACGGCTAGCAGTAAGCCCAAATAAACCGTGTCGTAAAGACTCTCGGGAATGGAAGTTCAGACAATAAAAATTCTGATACGAAACGATTAGGAAAAGGGGATAAATACATGAAACCAAAAGAAAAAAAAAAGAACCAAGACAAAATACAAGACATGAAAAATAAGAATAGAGCGAATTATAGACAAGATAAAAGTATATCAACAGCAGAATAACGCACCATAAAGCACAGCCTTACCAACTGTCATTCTCTCGTTGCAGTCGGGAGGTAACAGGAACACCAACAAAGTTAAAACAGAAATCATTGCACAGGGTATTATCAAAAACATAGCATGATACAAGGCCCTCCGCTTTATTTGTATTCTGTAGGTGACGTCATCATACGGATTAACACAGCAATTGTAAAATAGGGAGTGAAACTCTCCCGGAACTCCAAGTAGTTCCCACGCCACGCTAGGGGAGTATTCGCTCAGATCTGCTGAAGAGTTCTGAGGATGCAAAGAAAAAATATACAGCTAAGAAAAAGCATCATTCTTTCTTCTCTCCGCCGACTGTAAATTGGTGATTTTTTTCCCTGTATACTGTGCTTGATACCTAACGTCACTGGGATAACGTCTGAAAGTTAAATGCCGTTACTTGGTTTCTGATATTTAAATCTGAAGCTTACCTCAAGTTGCAATGCGATTCCCAAGGCATCATACGTCCAGGAGCCAAATTTCAGCTTGCATTCCTGCTGATCAAAAGGGTAATTCTTCACATAAATCTTGCAGCTACTCTTGATGATAGTTGGTACGTTCAAGCTGACTAGCCCCTCTTTTGTGATAACAGCTTTGGTTCGCGTCATACCGCTACCAAAACCTACACCGGCACTGTAAAAAATAATTGGAATGATAGACTAAACACTAAGAAGTGTCATGTTCAAAGGTGAAAGGGCTTTCCATTTTACCGATCAGTTGACTGACCATTCTTCAAAGTATATTATCCAGCCAGTTGTGACCTCCAAAAAACAAATCACTACCTTTACGTACCAGAGCCTTATGACCTTAGCAATCGCGCGTTACCTGTACGTCATAAGACTCACGCAATACGATCACGCCATTCTGACGCGACCAGGAGGCAAGTTCGGTCATCACTCGGTTAGGGTCACGGATTTTCAACATAGATCCAAACCTCGCTTAAAAAACAATAACAGGGACGAAACTTTTCCGGAGATCTAAGACTGACAAGATATAAACGAAAGTACGTTACGCGCGCGAAAACGGAGCCTCCATAAGTGAGAAAATATGCGAAACAAATCAAGGTGAGTAAAATTCGGTTTTCGCATGATGTCTGCGAGTCTCCAATACGTCCGTAAATGTTTCTATCCCAGGGACCTTCCATGCTCATTTTTTTATTTTTAAGTTGAGTGTTTTACAACACCTTTGTAGGCATTCCCGCCCGATGATAATACGATCGAAGTGTTTTGTTAGCGAAGAAAGTTAAATGATGCTCGAACCTCTAAAAATATGTCTCGAACCACAAAAAATAGATAAGGGTGGATCGCATAGGAGATTTCTTTTGGGAAATGAAGTGCATGGATTTATTTTAAGAAGTAAGACAACTTTAATGACCCGGACTCTACTGCTTAACGGTATGAGATTGAAAATCTAAGTGAAGACGAGACACATTTTACAAAGTAAAGTCCTGCCTCTAGGTATGATTAAATCTTAACCTGATGTCAACTTGGCATTAAAAAGTTGAGTAAATAAAATCAGTACTTTTATTTAAAACTACTCATAATGCAACCTCGTTCCCAGGGCTTTTCCCTTTTTGAGGTTGCTCATAATGTTCTGTGGTATTAAAAAGATCTACCCCGAACCAGTCCACCTTCGTATCAGACACTTACTTGTCATATAATACTATATCTGGGATCCATATCATTTTTGGATCGACACTTATGTACTCCACTCCACCGTACTTTGAAGAATCCCATTTGAGCTGCGGATCCACCCAGTACTAAAACACATAAAGTAGAAGTAGGTCTGGTTACACATAAGACACTGAGAAAATTTTGACGTCATGTTAACGCAACAGTTATGGTTAGGACCGATCATTATTTATCGTCGCCTGGAGGGGGGGGAAGTAAGAGGATTTTGATTGAGTCACAATATAATTAACCTGATTCCTCTCTAACTGGCAGTTAATTAGCAGTCAATTTTCTATGGTCCTCATTCTATACTCTGTTGGAGACGTCTGATCTGCCATACGTTTCCCCTGAACACCATGTGGCCCACCCTAAAATCATTTTCATGACTGGTCCCGTATGGAGATGAAAATTCCCGGCTGAGGGAGGAGGTTGGCACTTATAATCCTCGAAATTTAACCCTGAGGAAAAAATTGGCAGAGGACCTCCGGCTATGTCAGAAACTTCTGACGGAAATGGCGCTTGTTACATTTAGATCCTTTTAAAGATCAGCTGGTTTATCAACCGTGTTACTCCCAGAAGTGACCAAAATGGAATTAATTCCTCATTACAGAAACCTTTCAATCAGGGGATATTGCTCGCTTCAATCAGGGGATATTGCTCGATTCCTTATCAAATGATCAGAGCTGAAATGATAAGAAATACATGACAGAAAGTATTGAAAATTGTTACATTGATCTTGGTGGTGAAAAGATTAAAAAGCATCTGAAGACAACGTTGCATTCATACGAGAAATTCTTTGTCCAATGCCCAGGACTCGCACGTGACAAATCATTAAAAAAAAAAACATATTTCCTTATCTTACAGGCTGTTTAGGATCAACAGGAGCAGCAAGGATTTATATACCTCTCTTATTTCTGCTCGAGTTAGGAGTAGCTGATTCTTGTCATCCTGCAAGCATGTGGAAAAATAAAAAAATGTTGGTATTTTCATTCACGTTAAATCTCAGACGCTGTACTAAAAATGGTTCAGGTTCGTGTCCCTAAGGTTTCTCTGTGGCGGGCACCACTGAATGCACCTAATAAAGGAATGCTATTGGGAAAAAAACGCTTGGCGCCGAAATGTCATGGCTGAGCTGGCTGGCTGAGGTACAAAATTCACATGGGCTGTGGCACAACATGCTGCACAAAATGAGGGTAAATGGGAAGAGATTTTTTCGATGTCCTAGAGGGAATGAAGAGAAGTGAGCAGGCTACTCAATACCCACCAGGTCTTCGATCTCTCTGACAACCAATCCAAACTTTACAATTACCGGGTCCTCACTTCTGACAACTGGTCTGACCCGTCTGTTGTAGTTCTCAGGGTTCAGCAAGTCCTCAAGAAGGTGCTGCTCTCGTTTTTTACTCGTTGAATTCTGCGCGTCGAGACCTAACGAATAATATTCATCACAATATATATTTTAAAGATAGAATTTTCGAAATGTTCTAACTTGAAGTCTGCCTTAACCGAGGGAGTAAATTATGGACGGTATGTATGCCCTCTTGAGAAGAAGATTAAATTCATATATTCGATGGCTGGAATTCAGACAGTTGGATATTTGTCTCGAGTTTATCAGATCACATTCCAGTGGTAGCTCATTTTATGTCATGCCACTCAAAAAATGCGATTATTATTTATCATCCCGAGGGGGAGAAGGGTTGGAGGACTTTTGCTATGAAACAATTAAATTTTCCAGATCTCCTTGACACTTTATAGTATTCCTATCCCTTCCCCCCCTACCCCCTTAAGAATCGACGAAAGCGACGGCAACGAGGACGTGGAAAAACAAGAGATCTAATTGGCTCAGCACGTGCGTTTTGAAACTTTGTACATTTCTTAGCCATCCTGTGCAAAACAACAACGTGAAATCGCCAAAATCTGCGTCGTCTGCGAACCGAAACCGCGACGGCAAATAATTTTAATTTCCATTTGGAACTCCACGGCTATACTTTATACGTCGTGCTGAAGTTGAGCTGTGGCGCTGTATGAGACAGTAAGCTCCTGCAGCCATTTTTGAAATTCTAACTAAGAGTAGAAATTCATTTTTTAATCGAAGTCTTCCTTGGCGTCGCCGTCGTGGTTTCTTAAGGTCCCTTTTAGCAGTTAATTTACAGTCAATTTTCTAGATCTACCCCTCTTTATACTCTGTTGGGGTAGACTTATCCCGCATCCATTCTCCCTTAAAAACACGTTTTCCCTCCAGGTGATAAATAACGACTGCTCCCTTAAGTATACGGACAGACTGAAGGAAGCAGTCAGTATCCCTCCACACTCTATGTATGATAACTGAGCTATCGTTTCCCGAACCGAAGAACATCTATCGGCATAACCTGGGACACGTTTAGTGCAATTCCGAGTTAAGCTTAAAGCTTAACACGTAAGTCTAGCTTAATCACACGAAACAACAAGTCACATGGACTTCTCATCAAAAACTACCGACAAACTCTCTTCCATTATGAAACCTATTACTCTTCCATAACGGTGCTATGATACCTCAAAAGCCACTTACATTTTTGAAATTTATTCTAATAAAATCTTACCTGCAACTATGATGGATAAAAATAGAATCAATGATAACATTTGCGCATGTTGATTACATGTAGCCATGAAGGTTAAAATTTTGGAAAATGGAAAGAAATAAACTGTTTTACGAAGCAAATCATAATCAGTTTTCACATTCTTACATTTCCATGCGAATGCGCTCTCTTCATTTGGCTCCTTGCCAAGTTAGCGGGTGGCTCTCAAATTTAGCGACAGAGCCAGGAGACAGAAAAAGCAACAAGTTTTCATGATATTATTTCCCACTTGTAAGCTTATCTTTATTTTGCAGGTAATTGGCTTATCCTTTCCAGACTTGGTTTGCTTTTCATTGTCGAAAGCTAATCAACCTTTCAATAAGGGCCCTGTAAAAAACAGGCCGATGGATTATCGATTGGTAACGAACCATATTCGATTATCTACAGGCTGTTGACAGAAACAGGTGCCTTTGCAGGTGGCATCAGATCGTTCTACGTCTCCGTATTATTTTGCCTCCTCAAGTTTATCCACTGCGCAAAACTTGTTTGCCAAGGGCGTGTTAAAAATTTCCTTGACACCACTTACTGACGAACTGTGTTGGTCTCTGCTATGGTTGAGGGAGCACTGCTATGCCATAAAAACTTACCCACCATAATGCCGTAGAATACATGTGGGAATTTTTAGGAATGGCTAAATTTCAAAGACAGAATTCCAAGATAATCTCGTAGTAACTGTGTTCGATAATCAATTTTGAACATGGCATCTGTCGAAGTGGAGAAACTTTCAGAGCACCTTTTAAAATGTCCGATCTGCCTAGAGACATACAGGATGCCCAAAGTTCTCCCCTGCTTACACACTTTTTGTCAACACTGTTTACAAGGGCTCATCAACAGCGGAGAAAACACCATCATTTGTCCGACATGTCGCTGCGAGGTATACGTCCCAAAGGAAGGCGTCGGAGCGCTGTCAACCAATTTCTTCATCAACAACATGTTGGATTTTCTCTCCGTTGCGAAGAGCAACTCCAACCCTGTTGTTTGCTCAAATTGTGACGAGCAGAACAAGGCAACTTCACGATGCATTGAGTGTATGGAGTTTCTCTGTTCGCAGTGCGTTGCAGCTCACCGCAGAACGCGAATGACCAAAGAACACGAAGTCATCGCTTTGGGTGAACTTCAGTCGCAGAAAGAGGTTCAAGAAAAGTTACACAGACCCTTACTCTGCACGGTTCATGAGCGGGATGTATTGAAGTACTTTTGTGAGACGTGCGATGAGCCTGTTTGCCGTGAATGTCTTATCATTGATCATAGAGAACACCATTATGGTTACTTAAAAGATGTGGATAAAAAACATCGATCAGAGGTAAGAAATTATCCCAAATCTCGACGGTAACAGAACGCTAGTAAGGACTCTACTTTGCGATAGGCAAATGGTAAGACGCAACCATTCAGTCCTTGTAACGGTGGAATGCGTGGACGACTTGCATTGTTGTTGACTGGAAATTTCTGTGAACAGAGAAAAGTGAGCTTAAGTAGGTTTTTTCAACGGGATATACGTACATTGAAATCATCAGTGTACTTATACCTTGGCATTCAGCTTTTCATTCATATTTGAAAATGTCGGCTAAATTAACGTAAACGTACCCGCACAATAAGTTGATTAGAAAAAAGAAATTTGCTTTCTACATTTTGTAAGACTAACACCTCTCTATTATCACTGCTGTGGACTTCATACATTATGATCAGCTCCTCTTTTTTGCGAAGACCGTCGCGCGAGAAAAATAAAATTGATGTCATCGCACTGCGCAGAGTTCCGCGCTCTATTATTTCTTTTTTTTCCACTCACGTGACAACTTCACTGAAAAGGAAGGATTGTTCGTAGTCTAGCTTTGTATATTATTAGACAATCAAATTGTTATTTTAGTTTTGCTTTTTTGTCGGTTGCTCTGTGATCGATCCAAGGACATTTAATATTGGTTACGGTAATTGATTTCCCAACCACTAAGTACCTGCTTAGGACGAATAGAATGTTTAAAATATTGTATTTCGTGCATTTAAGTGTCTTGATATCGTTTGAAATCTGGGTCTTTTATCGATTAATTTTATGTCGTTGTTCACTTCAGGATCAAATGCAGATCATTTTCTCAGAGTTTTGCGCAATGTGGGTATCTTTCGTTGAAACACACTTTATAAGTTTCAATTAATGTTTCTTTCTGTAAGGTTGGAGTTCTTGTTATGAACACCAAAAAACGAATCGCCCCTTTGAAAGAAGCAATTGAAAAAGTCTCAGAAATGAAACAGAAACTGGATTACAAACTGGAAGAAGTACGAGAGGAAGTTATTCAAAACTGCAAACGATGCAGAGAGGTTGTTCAAGAAAGAGAAGAAGAAATTCTCACACAGGTTAATAACATTTATCGAATGAAATCCAAAACGTTGGAAATCCAACTGGATGAGCTCGAAATGATGATGGGAAATCTAAACAGCAGCATCGATTTTACTGAAAGTCTCCTTCGGCACGGAAACGAAGCAGAGGTGATGCTGGTCAAAAAGCAAATGACACAGCGATTACAGGACTTAAACAGCGTAAAGTTAGAGTACCTGCCATTGGAAGAGGATCTTATTGATTACAAGTTTTCTACCGACGGGTTTAGAAAGTCCCTTGAGCATATTGGCGAGGTTAAGGTTTACCATGCGTACCCGCCATATTGTTTTGCCACGGGTGTGGGGATCCATCGAGCTAAGTCCGGAGTGGAGGCAGTGTTTCTTGTTACAACTAAAGACAGAATGAACGAGGTATTCAGTGGCAGAGGAGAGCCAATCAGAGTTCAGATTGATCCATCCGAGGGAGATCCCGTCGCGAGTAAGTACTTGGACAATCCTTGAGGTCATACCCTCTTGGATTATGTAGTTGAAAAGAAGGGTGTTAGCGGGCTCTGATAGGAGAAAAAAGCGCAATGAAGACCAACTAGTGTCAAACGAAAAGCTGTTCAAAGCTTTTTTACAACTGATTTAGTTTGTTTAGCTTTAAAGAAGATAATATTTTCGATTCTTTGCAGCATACGTGATTGACAACGAAGACGGCACCTTTACCATATCCTATCAACCTGTAGCACGGGGACTTCACCAGATCCACATAACCATGCGAAATATCCATATCAATGGGAGTCCTTTTAGTGTTAACGTGACTGGAAGAATGGACTTTGGAAAAGTTGGGAAAGTCATGGCATGCTTTGGCTGTGAGGGAGCTGGGGGAGGTAGGATTCAGCACGGAGAGGTGACGTTGTAGACATGAGATGGGGAGACTGAGCTTCGTTTTAGTAGTACTGTCCAAATAACCCACCGACGTCACCACCCCCCTCCCTTACAAGAAATTTGCACATACAAAATTGTTTTAAAAGTTTTCTTTCCTTTTTTCATTTTATTAGTATTTTTTTTTGGAGGGGGTGGGGGAGGGGGGAATAACACGGGAAGGATGGAAAGAAGTGCACCACTAGAAATGTGGAAGTGGCGAGTTGATTTCTTTTTGCGGTTAATCTCTCTTTCGTTTATCTACGTCCTCATAAAGTCTTTACCAAAGCAAAAATGTTTTCGTAAGTTTCAAGAATCTTAGACGGTTTTACGAATTGTTAAAAAGGACATAAATATAGAGGCAAGACCGACACAACGAAGATAGGTTTTAAAACGGAGCACTATATTTCGGCTGGCCAAACCAGCCTTCTTCAGGTGCAGCGGGAATTGACATAGAATTAAGGTGGTACTTAGAATTTCACAGTAAAAAAGGACGCACAAAGGGAAGAGGAACTAACCCGAAATGCGTGGATAAGAATGCGCAAAACAAACTTAAACGATAAAAATGTTACACAAATTTTCCTCCAACGCGTAAAAATTTAACATCTTTCTTATCTTAATTAATGTGGTTATAGAAATGAAATAATACATTACGAAAAACGGTTCTATGTTATGTATAAGATTTTAATAAGAACTACATTTGTACTTCAATTTTTTTTTTATGATAGGGGAGTTTAATATGCCCTGGGGTGTCACCATTGACGATGAAAACAACCATCTTATTGTCTCCGACTGTAACAACCATCGAATTCAAGTGTTCGACTTTGAGGGAACATTCATGTTTAAGTTCGGCTCAGAGGGCACGGATAAGGGGCAATTCAGACACCCCAAGGGTGTGGCCCGTGCCCCTAACGGCCATATAATGGTCGCAGACTCCAACAACCACCGAGTTCAAGTATTCAACGAGGACGGCCGATTTATCAGGAAATTCGGAAGCTTTGGGATGGAGCGACCGGGCCTCCTGAACCATCCGTGTGGAGTGGCATGTACCCCTGGGGAACTGGTGATAGTAACGGAACAGGACAATCACCGGGTGCAATTGTTTAACATGAATGGGGAGCCCGTGCGTCAATTTGGAACGCAGGGGTTTTCAAAGGGACAATTTATATACCCTCATCACGTGTGTGTGAATCAGCGAGGAAGAATCATTGTGGCCGATTGTGTCAATGATCGAGTTCAAGTGTTTGATTTGGAAGGGAAATATTTATCAGACTTTGGAAAAGAAGGTAAGCTGTCGATAAGGTTCAAAAGCAATATCTTCTCCAAAGCAGTTATTTTCCTCCTCAGCTCAAAGTTACGTCCCCTTCCAAGGCAATTCCCCTTCCAAAAACATAGATCCTCCTAAAAGCTGGCTTCAAATGAGAGATGCGTTTCTCTCTGACCGTTTAGTTACGTGAGAGGAGAGGAAATGACTCTATTAGAGTCAAATTGCTAACATTGGTGACCCTCGTTAAAACTGCCAAACTGTATTTCATTCAAAGAAATCTTTTTCAGGACTTTACATATACCTCCTACAGGCATTTACTGCCGCTTTCAGCTTACAAGTCAACAGTAGACGCTCGAGGCCTCTTTGAGTCACTTTAGCGTTAACCATCGGCGTTTTCCAATTGAATTTTGTATAAACATAGCCGGAAACATGACATAGGTCGATCAGAAATGACAGATTAGTTATTACAAGGAGGTAATGAGAGCTAAAAGCAAGAATTAACAAATTTTTGAAGCGCGGGAACCTTGAATTGACCAAGTTTGTGATTGCTTTTAGATTGTGTCTGATTGTTCGGGAAAGTGGTGCGATTCAGTTTTCTCGACCAATCACATGGCAAAGTAAAGGAAAACCATTTCAATCGATTTGAAAATTTTTTTACCCATGATTCATTGTACAGGATCACAAAATGGCTTATTTGACGGTCCCGAGGGCGTGGCCTGCGATGACGAGGATAACATCTTAGTGTGTGACTATCACAACCACAGAGTACAAGTGTTAAATTCTAATGGCGAGTTCGTCAACGCGTTTGGTGCTTACGGTGAAGACGAGGGGTGTTTTAAGAATCCCTGTGGAATTGCCATAACGAAAGAAGGCAATATCGTTGTGGCTGATAGCGGAAACAATAGGATTCAAGTCTTTTAGACCCCGCGATTACGATCTGTGCATATTTAAAGGAATAGTAGTGATCCAGATTTGTAATTTTTTTTTATTGAGGCTAATGGGAAGGGATGGAAGTCGACCCAAGACTGAAATGATTTATTCTTTATCCCCTACTTATCATAACTTTTTTCCTAGAACCACAGTGTTGCATTCCAAAGTCGCGAAAATTTGTAAATATAAATTAAATGAAAGGCCAAGAATTGATCTCCCATTTCAGAGGTTCATCTTGAGAATAACAGTCTTTGTATTTAACCGTTTGTCTCTTGAATAGTTTGGCAATTATTCGCCACAATTCGAACATTTATAGTACTTTGTATCAGGAAATCAGAACAAAAAGAATAGACTGAAGTAGTAACCGCTTGACCGATTTTCTGTCGGGTTATCTCATCATATTTAAAAATGTGGTAACTTCACTATAATTACAATTCTCAGTGAAAGTTATCTGATTGATTCTTTGATCAGTAAATCAGTGGTAAAAATCTCTAGCTCAGCCTAAACTTCGTTCCCAGGCATCTCTCTTCTTACCACCTTCAACTCTCGTTTATCTTCTTTTGTTTTACCATCTCCCTTTTGCTCCGGGGACTGGAGAAAAAAAAAAAAAAAAAAACCACAGGAACCAGGTTGACGCAACCTCTTGTAAAATAAGTGTAGCTTGTATTATAAACTGTCACTTTAATTCTTTATTTCTTCTCCTTTCCTTATAAATATTTACAAGACTTACTTCCTTTTTACTGAACTAAGCTGAGTAGTAAAATAAACCGTTTTATTTACCATGTGACTGCTTTGAAGTATGCACTGTCTGATAAGATTACTGACTGAGAAGCATGGAGAGGGACCACAGGTAACTATTGATTCACACCAAACCCGCAACTACACAAAAAAAACCTTCTTAAACAACTCAAGCTAGCTTTTCTTCAAAGAAGTCTTTCCAAACAAGAGACTAAAACCTCTGTGATTCTCAAGAGTCCCACTTTTATTGGAAAGACCATATTTATTTTTTTGTTTGTTTTTCTGTCACTGATCATTTAAATAAATTGCATAAACACATCCACAGTACATGTATGTTCCTCTGGATTGCTGTAGAAATTATATAACATTCCAGTTTCTTACATTTTTGGAAGAAGAAATTGTTAAGAGCATTATCACAAAGAGCTCATCAAATATGATGTCTCTAATTAAAAGCATGTGACATTCCCTCATATTGTGACTGGTTTTTCACTGCCGTAGAATTGGTATTCTGTGTTGTACATCCGTGGAACTAGGAATGTCTCTCCAGGGCCTGGGCCTGAGGAAATGAAAAAAAAAGAACAAATGTGAGACAAGGGTCTCCCAATCATGTGCTCTTGCTTAAAAAAAAAAAAAAAATCAAAGAGGAATACTTTAGACCTTGCTCTTTCAAAAAACAAAATAATAAAAATTAAAAATAAATATCTCAACAACAACACCCTTACTTTCAAGAGGTGCATGCCAAGGTTTTGGCACATTCAAAGTGAATAATTCCCATCTTTTCCTCTCAGGAGGCATGGTGTAGGATTCACTCATCAGTGTTTTCATTCCCCTAGAAGTAAAATTGAAACATTCCATGATTGAACATGTACACTGTGGTTAGAATAAAATTGTCACTTTTTGAAACATTGGCTCAAAAAAGACTCAGCAGAGACAATGCAGTAATGCCCCTTGAGGTCTTCAAATTTTCCATGTGCTCATTTATTCAAATTGCAGAAAAATATCATTTGATCAGGTCACAAGATACCAACTTCTTCCCTTAATTTTAATTTCAACTTTCTGAATTGTTTGAAATTATTTAGTGTGAATACTTAGCTTACAGCAGCACACGATTTTCTTGCTCAATAATATTTTTTCAAACTCACAACAATGATCACCCTTGGTAAAGTTATCACAAAACTTACAGAAGCACACTGGCCTCTGCATCCTTTTTTCTGGAAAGAATGAAAGAAAAGGCACTTGCTCTAACAACATCCTCATGCCTTTGGGAGCATAGCCTCCTACATTTCTCAACTTGGCTTTGGGGATTATTTCAAAAGCATCTACTTCACCTTAGGCTATCATAAATCTCAAGCATCAGACCTGAGTAATTATAATACTTACTAAATATCGTCAATCAAAATATTAGCAATTTAACTTAATAACTGCTAAATATTTCCAGTCTTTTCGTACTTATTTGGCACAGGCTCCAGTGACTTTGGTAGCCTGGGGATAGTGGTTGGCTCTCTGAACCAGATACGGTCCCTCATAGGTCCTTTTTCTCTGGGGACTGAATTTGGAGGTAAAGGATTTTCTTTTGAGCCATGACCCCAAGCTTTCGTGTACTCTTCACATTCCCAATAAGTTGCATAATCTTTGGCTGGGTAACGTCCCAATTCATGCCTGTTTTGAGAAAGAAAAAAGAAACATTTAATTTAGAAGGTAACTGTAACTTTTAATGTTACGAAAATCCCTAAGACTGCTCATAAGCTGAGAAGCCCAAATAAACTCATGGAGCTTTAACCTGGTTGCAAATAATCTACAGTAGTTGATGTCTTAAGAGTACTAGAAGATGACTGAGATGGCTGTGTAGAGCACACATGTAGATGTGATTTGGTCTCTTCACTCCTTGCAAAAAATCAAAAGAAATTTGATTCTGTCCTGGTGTACCGGTTCACATGGGAATTACCATTGTTCTTTCTTTGTTTAGGAGTCGTTGGTTAGCTGTTGTGTATTGTTTGGTCTTTTGTATCGGCTCTTGTGAACCGGTACACGAGGACAGAACCAGAAATTTCCATCCTGGGGCTCAACTCAAAGGCAAAATTAAATTCCCAAGATTGAGGGTACTCACGGTTTGCAGAAATTAGGCTGCTGCCTGAAATTTCCAGCCCATAACCTCAGAAGTACCTCTTATGCTTTACCAAATGACTGCTAGCCAAATTAAATCCAACCAGCAATTGACGCATTTCATCCTACAACCCTGGGTACTAGACTGAGGTAAAATGCTGCAAATAAGTCTTTCTGGAACCCTCTTGGGACCTTCACACTAATAGGTGCATCCCCCTAAAATATTGCTTTGCTGTTTTCCCAGAGAGTTCATTGGTGTTCATTTATCCTACTTGCTAACACACTCAGACAGCAACACTAACCATGAACCTTTCAAATCTCTTTAAATCAGCAAACCAAGAGTAATGCCATGCTGGTTGTCTCCCACTTAATTATTTTTACAGTTGACAAAATTAATGATACAATTTAGATTTGACTGAGATATACAAGTCATTAAAATACAGTCATCACAAATAACTTTAGTTGGTAACTAAGTAAAGAATCAAATTTTGTTTACTTTGTGAATGCTCTGTGATCTCTCTGTGTTGTGGTTAGATAAGGATCCATGTGGTAGGTCAGTACACCTCTGTCCCTTGGGTAAAACTTCTGCCCTGTTATGCCTCTGTTTATTGTTGATGGTACAAGATCCTTTAAACAGAAATATTTATATAGTGAAATCAGTTCATATACATGTACTTCTTACCCAAGGCATAACTTCTTTGAGTTTGTAAAATTCAAAACAGTTTACTCTGTAAGTATAAAAACTTAACTAATAAGACAAATAAATATTAAATAAATAATTTTATTATTTCTATAGCACAAAATTGATTAGATATAAGATCTAATGCACTTTACAAGTTGAAAAGGAAAACTGACTATGAAAATATTATTTACAATTAATGATATTATGATTACACTTGATATAGTACTTAATAAATATAACACTTTATATAGTAGATAAAATCAATAGTTGAGTAGTTTGCAAATCAACAGAGGGTCTTCTTATCTTGGAACTTTGCAAGGATTCCACAGCTACATGGATACATAGTCATGTATATCTTTTAACATGCAAATGCACCAGTAACTGTATTCATTTGGGATTCAGGACTCCATGCTTCATTCAGACTGGAAAATCAAACCTAACATTGGATCACTTACAAAAAAACATGTTCAGCCTATAGATTACAAGAACAAAAATAATGAAAAAGTACCAGTACCTTACTGTTTCCCTCCCTGTGGTGATCAGCAAGATTAAAAGGTTGTACTCCTGCATTATAAACAGTGTCCAGATTAACTGCTGGTCTCCCTGTGTACTGAGACATCATTTCACTGCACTGGTTTCCCATTGTTAGTGGTCTTCTCCAAGGCTTCACACTCAACTATTTAAGAGAAATATAGCATAAGATAATTAAAACACTCATATGATAAGAGCTGCAGCTGCTGCATCATCTATAAAGACCAGATCCTTAGCATTTCACCCTTAATTTTTAACACAATTATCACCTTTCCAATATTATCCTCTACATAATGAACTTTCCATGATCCTGGAGCTTTCTTGAACTGGGAGTTACTCAGGGTTCCCCCCTGTGCTTTGTAGTCATGAGTTGTACCAGTAGTTGTTTGAAAGTACTCCCTGTCAGTAACATAATCTGGGTTTGTGAGGACGGGTGGCAACACATCATACACAGTTCTCTAAGATGAAAGGAGAGCAATAATGATCAGATCAGTGTTTCTTAAAACATAAATGATATTTTCAGTGTTACGATAAAAAGAGTTACACAGGAAGTATTCTTCTTCTCATGGAGAAATGATGTTCAAAGTGATTAATGCGCACAACACAAACATTTGTATTTAATCCTGATTCTCTCCCAGCAGGAGTGAGCTCCTTCATTCTTTCATTCTTGAGCAAAAGAGTGATGGGAAGAAGAAGACTATCAACTTTAAGATTTGTTTTGATTTAACACTAAATTCTCAGAGCTAAGATTAAAAGAAACGTATGACAGACAGTAAGGAGAACTGAGAGAAATGAGATTATGGGAAGAAAGGAATGAAGATGTAAAAAGACGAACTAAAAGCGTGGATCCTAAGATCGCAAACAAACCATTCTGATCTCAGGGAGTTCATTTTTGTTTTATATCAGCTTGTCATGGACATGATTCAGTATATTCACAGTACATGCATATTCAAACAGAGAATGCAGTGGATCAACGTAAATAAACATAAATGTTTACAAGAATTCGAAATTGTGCATAAAATACTTCAAGACATTTTCAATCGAGTCAAAGAATGATTCAAGTCCTGATACGATGTGGTTATGATAAATTATGTAAGATGATATTCAAGCTGAGAATAAAGAAAAATCATCAGAGAAAAATTTGAGAATAACTTACTCGAAATCCTTGGGGTGGAAAGCCGTGAGGAGACTTGTAGTAATGCCCTTTTCCTGTCGATGTCAAGTGAAGATCGTCCCGAACTTTTGAGGCCATCGTGGATAAAAGTGACTTGTGCCGGGGAGAATATCGGGGGATAACACCGGGTCGTTTTTTATGACTAAAATTTGTCCTAGATCGGTAAAATCACAGAAATTGTTGGTAAAATTGCTGTAGAATGCTATCGAGCCAGACGACGATTGCCCTTTGTTGCCAATCGAAGACTGGTTGTCAAGGAAGCGCGCGCGTCTCTTAGCAGTACTCCGCTGGCTAAAGTAATACAGGCGTCTGCAACTCATGCAGGCGGTAATTTTGCGATAATTTGCGTTTTTCTTCCCCCATTTTGGATCAATAAATAAACTTAATATTATAAGTATCTGGACAGTTTTCATGACAAACTTCCCTGTGGCCTCCCATCTCCAAAAATTGCAAAAAAATCGCGAAATGCGGGATTGACCGGAGTAAACTGGGTGCTAAGAATATTCGGCAGAGGAAAACTGGATTTTATATTCAACGAACGCCTGGCGATATTTGCGTAAATCCGCAATCGATACGTAAGCCATTCGAACAGTTGTCTGAAGACACAGGAAAACTCAAATCGAGCGTCTAAAATCGCAGTTTGGTTCAACAGTGTGGTAAGTGATTTTCGATGTATTTTCATGTAGCTATCATTTGAAGATGATCGTTTTGAACAGAGACACGGATAGGTATACTTTTTTAAGCCAAATATAAGGTAAGCGATATGTTTAAGAAATATAGAAACGAACTTTTAGAGAAACATAAAACCTTATATTTCCACCAACGAGTTGAGACAGTCCAGGGAAATCTATTTATGACGAGGAAGCAATTGTTTTGCGTTGCAAGAGACTCGGCGAACGCATAGCCATAGAGAACTTGACTATGAAATGCCACTCTATATTGCATAACCAAATCTCCCGGATAAAAGCGACTTTGAACCTTTGCACCACTGGGAGCTAATGCCATGCCTCAAATACCCAAATCAAAACAATTTCGGTTTTTTAACCTCAACTCGCGTTTTCAGGCACTTTTTTAAGCAATCTTTTAACCACAAAACCACATGTTGACAGAAACTAAACAAAAGCTTTTTCATGGTCATACAATAGACTGTCTGATTGGATCTTTGTTAACAAATAACAACCCAAGAATTAAATGCCCGGTCTCCCGCCAATATTTTCCACTTCCAACTCGTGCGTGATTGCAAGATTCAGCATGTTGGTAGATTTTTCTTGTCTTCAGAATATTTGGGAAACCTTCCTATTTTTCTGGGCCAACATGGGAAACTCTTTGGAAGACTTCGGTTCAACTCCAAAAGTCTGTAGATCAACTTCGGAAACCATCAAAATTCCTTGGTAAATTTCAGAAATCTTCAGGTCGACTTTGGAAGTCTTCGGTTGTCCTCAGAAGACTTCGGAAATCTTCCTTTTTTAAGGTGAACATTGGAAGCTATTAATTACATGATTGGGGGGGGTGAAGGTCGATTTGATGGAGAGAGGGTGCCACTTTTTTCTTGGGGGGGGGGGAGTTTGATGCCGGAGTGTTATAAAAGAAAAATCTCCAGATTTTAGATTTCCAGAGGTTGGCATCTCTGATTACATAGTGGCTTCATTACTCCATTGCAAAAATCTAATATGAGGCATTTACATTTACATATATCTCCTTGCAACATCTATAACAGACATACTTGCAAGCTACCCCCCAATTCCCAGTAAACAGGCCAGACCACATCACAGTAATCTCGTTAACCAAATTAACTAATTAATAGTGCAGGAGACAGGACCTACGGTTTATTCGTCCTTATCCAAGAAGACTAGAATGTCTATCCATTTCTTGATATTATAGAAAGGTAGCACATTCTCCTCAGTTATTTTGAGACCTTGAGTGTTGGTCGCGCTGGGGCTCCAAAAGTTAATATGATCTAATATTATCACTAACTCCCAAATTGAAGCAAATATGGCACTGCTCTCATTGAAAATGTCGCATTTCAGCAGTTGGTAACTGTAAAGGAGGCAATAAGTAATGCAGCGTATTGTTAACATTTTGGCAGAATATGTCGTGCCCTAAAAGTAGGTTAAAGTACTTGTGGCCAACAAGCTTGAAATATCACACATTTTCTAGCTTAGAACGAATTTTTATTTTGCTCATATT